GTGTGTGTGTGTGTGTGTGTGTGTGTGTGTGTGTGTGTGTGTGTGTGTATGTGAGAGAGAGAGAGAGGGAGGGAGAGACAGAGAGATATGCCGTGTGTGTGTGAGAGAGAGAGATGTGCATTGCCCCTTTAAGTATGCTGACCCCACTCTAAGTACACTGCCTTTTTAAGTACTGTAGCTCAGCAAGTTGAGACAGCAGCTGCTGCAAGCAAGCTCCCGTCCCCTCCCCCCCGGCTCTGTGGAGATGGGGTACATGAGCGGGGGGAGGGGGACACCCTGCCATTAGCACTCCTCTTCTCCCTCCCTCCTGGGAACAGCTCCAAGGCAGAGGGTAGAGCAGCACATAGCAGTGGGGGGAGGGACAGCTGAACTGCCAGGCAATTGATATTATCGCCTGCTGGGCGGCTGCCACACAGGAAACTTAGGGGAGCTGATAGGGGGGCTGCCGGTGCACCCTGGTTCCAAGCCCCCACCAGCTAGCTCCAACAGGCTGCTCTTTCTGCAAGTAGTGGACAAAGCAGGCGGCTGCCAAACAACGTTATAAGGGAGCATTGCACAACTTTAAACGAGCGTCTTCTCTAATTGATCAGCAGCGTGACAATGTTAACCGGGACAACGTTAAGTGAGGAGTTGCTGTGCTAGAAAGAGGCAGGCGTTTCCAATTTGATTTACCTGCATCTTTCACCTGGAGATAGGCCTAACTGATCTTAGTTGTGCAAATTCATCCTTTTCTGTCTATACTGCACAAACCTCAGTGCATCTATACTAGTAGTTTCTCTTTTTTCTCAGTGCAACTGATCTTTGTCAGCCTTAGAAGATTACATAACCTCTTGAACCATGGGTCTCTGGAGTAAAGCCAAACACGTGATAGTTCCTGATTCTCTTCTACTTGGAAGTTTGACAAAGTTTTCAGTTCTCTTTCCACTCTTTTTGAGATCTCGTACACTATACGTCTGCGCAATGTCCTGGTCTTTATGTTCATCTGTTTCCAAACAACACCTGCTTGTGAATAACCTAGCAACTCCTTCCTTGTGCAGGCTGTGCTCTTAACTGTTGTACTTCACCTCATTTGAGGAACCGCCAGAGAGAAAGGTGCCGGGCATTGCTTTCAGCACTGGAGAAAAGTCAGATTAGAGACCATCTCTGTCTACTTCCTCCAGTGTCTCCCCTCCCCCCTTCCATGTTTGTGCTCTGTTTGAAGAGGTTCTTAATGGGTGGGACATGACCCAGAAGTGGGTCCCCAGGTGCTTTGTTGGTGTGGCAAAATCACTGGGTCAGGAGGGCCCAGTGGGAGTTTGGACTGACGCTGTGACTGCTCCCTCTGCCCCGACCTGACCCCTATTGTTCAGTACCAGTCACGGGACAGCTCGGTGCTCTACCTGCTCCCCTGTTACTTTCAATTCCAGGGCTAGGGAAATGGCTTCAAGATTCTGTGGAACTGGTTCTGTAGCCCCTTGGAATGATGCTTCCTAACCCTAGAGCTCCTTGAGCTGTGCAGGCATGGAGGACAAAAGAGGAAGAACCCCACTTCACCTGAGGTGTATCAACCCTCACCAATTCCAGCAGCATTGGCTATACCTACTTAAGAGCCCCTCACTGCAGTAGCATCAGCCTCTCTACCCCAGGCATGCTCTGCACCAGCTGCCACACCCCACAAGTCCTCCATCTCCACCTTTTTGATCAGCAGCCCAAAATGCCCCAACAATTAGTTCATGACTCAAAATCCTAGCTGTAGTGTGTGGTGAGATGATTTTCCAGAGATTTTGCAGATTGCAGGCCAAAGGAGATTAGAAACATCTGCTCTTTTTTACACATCAACCCCGGATTCTTCTCAGGGATCAAGATCATACTGCCTAAGCATCTCCTTCCACAAAGCATGGCCTTAAAGTACTTTCCAAAGAGTCACTGCATGTAATAAAGAGAAGGAAGTGTTGGTCTCAGAGGTAACGTCACAGCTGGCATCCATGTTTTTTCTCTCCATCCTATATCCCAGTCCATCAAAGTCAGCAGCAATGGCTACGTCACAGCAGGGAATGTCCAGGAAAGGGAGCAAACTGGAAGCGCTGATCCCAGGGAGAGGCAGAAACCAGTTGGCGCCCATGATTAGGGTTTCTGCCTATCCCAGTTTTCACA